GAAGCCTATTGTGAAAGCGGTTTGACATTAGTGCTAGGTGTTGATTCTGTATGCCGGAAGGAAGATCGTGCATGTTCCGTGCAAGGACTGGGTGGTACAGGAAGTCTTCGAATTGGCTTTGAATTTCTTTTTCAAACAGGTTTCCAGATTGCATATGTATCAAGCCCAACTTGGCGTAAGCAGCATTTGGTTTAGCTCTGGTGTTTACCAGTTATACACTATAGTTCTTCTATACTTGCGATTAGTTTATACACACTAGTATGAGAGGATTTTGTTTCTCTTCCTTAGCTAATCATGAAACAATGTTGAAAGAAGCTGGTTTTGAAGTTAGAGAATATCGATATTGGAATAAGAAAACCTTCAACATCGATTTTGTTGGATTACTAGAAGATTTAGAAGATGCACCTGCCAAAAGTGTCATCTTGTTACATGGCTGTGCTCACAATCCTACTGGGTGTGATCCAACTAAAGAACAATGGCAGCAGATTGCTGAAATTATTCAGCGAAGACATTTATTTCCATTTTTCGATCTAGCATATCAAGGTTTTGCATCGGGGGACTTAGGTAATGGTGAGAGTAGCAACAAAAGAAATCCACTACTATTATGTATATCTGTTTTCTAGATGAAGATGCGTGGTCTATTCGATATTTTGCAGATACATTAAATCTTGAATTATTTGTTGCGCAGTCATTTTCGAAAAACTTGGGTCTTTACTCTGATCGTATCGGTCAATTGATTGCTTGCTTCCACTTCCCTGAGACAGTACCGATATTTCTTTCTCAAATAACATTAGTCGTGAGCAGAAATTATTTAACTCCACCACAACATGGCGCAGAAATTGTATCAACAGTGTTGAATACTGAAGAGTTATATCAAGAATGGATTTTAGATGTTAGAAGGATGTACAGCCGGATTCAAACGATTCGACAAAAACTTTACACTCGACTGAATGAATTGGGCACACCTGGTTAGTTTTACCAACGAAAGTCAGTTTGTTCCTAAAGGGATGTAGACGGTTTACCGCAACAGTTTTGTGTAACGCCCAGGATTCCTTCGAGAGCGAGACAGCTAATCTGCCGTTTTCTGCAGTGATTTTATGTACAACTGAAAAGAACATAAAATCTCAATAAATTTCGAAACACACAAAAGTGAGATTTTCTCCAAAAATGAAACTCAACGGAAACTTTCAAATCATATATCATTCGACTCAGTTTTCGACGCTGACTCTCAATATGATACTTTTATTGCATAAAACGTGAGTTCTGGTGGAGAAAATTGAGAATTACGGGCAGAATTTCGATTTTTTCGTTCCTGATTTAGCAAAAGTGAAATTTTTGAGCAATGGGGAGGAATTTCAAAAAAACGAGTTGTACTTTTGTAGTACGAATAAAGATCGATCGAATGGCGCAAGAATGAACGTTCTATCTTTTGCCGAAAAAATCTAGATAGCTTTTTCCGACGAGGTCTCTGCTTTGGAGATATCCTTGAAGATGAATTTTCGTGCAATGATATTACATATGAGAAGCATCAAAAACACGTCTCGCAATTCTGTTTTCAACGCTGAATTAGAAAAATGCTGTTTGAGAGTTTCCAAATAAAAGGAAGAAAAAGTATTCAACTTTTTTCGAAACAGGAAAGTTTTTCGGATTTTATGACCCTTCCGATATTTTCAAATTTTCGACGCGCAAACATGCACTGGGAAGGCTAAAAAGGCGACACTGGTGATCAGCTTCAAATTCTCCATCGAATCATATAAAAAGAAGCTAAAAATAAAATAGTACTTCATTTTTGAATTACGCGCGCCTTAACTGTAACGCTTGTGTTGCAACTTATGTAGTTCCAGTCCAGATCAAACTCGGTAAACGTTCAGTTTTACTTAGGTTAACCTAGCTCCAAATTGTTTTTCTTTTGCTTGGCAAGTAAGGGTTGAAATCCGAGACAGGACCATTAGGATTCAAAGATGTTAATTGCGACATAAGCAGAGTTTAAAATAAAACAGATTTAGCATCAGAGCTTTTAGAAACACGTAGCCGGAATCCGAATCTAATCTTGGTGTTGCGTCAGGTTGTAGTGCTTTGACTATAAGTCATATTTTCATGTGTGATTTAGGCACTTGGACGCATATTATTACACAAACAGGAATGTTTGCATTTACTGGTTTAAATCCTCAACAATGTCGCACATTAGTGCACGAGCATCATTGTTATATACCGTCAAATGGACGAGTCAACATGTGCGCGATCACAAAAGAGAATGTAGATCATGTAGCCGAAAGTGTTCATCAAGTTATTGTAACTCTTCACAGATTATCACGTCACAGTTCAGAACTATCAGCCATTGTAATGCAAAATTGTCAGTGAATGTTTTTGCCGAGAAAGAAACTTTAAAGTTATTGTGTTCATTAAGTTACAACACTCATCGAATACATCTCTCATGTATCAAAGTCAGCTGTTTTCTTTTAATGACAGCCGCTTGACGGAATTCTGTCGTTTTTCAATAAATGCTCTTTCCTTTGAAATATTTCCCATGTAGCCAAAATCGGTCAAAAATCGACGATTTTTTAGCGATTACTCAACCGATTTATCGTGCGCTTAATCATCAATTAATCGGCGAACTTTTAGTTTACAAGTCAGCTGGGCTCCTCGGTTCAAAGTTGATTAAAACCGACACAAGGTGTAACGATCGAAAAGAGATAAACTCAGAACATTCTCAAATATTCATAGCGCCATACTACTGGTTGTTACAGAAATGAAACAGTCTAGTTTTAAGAAATGAATCAGTTTTTACAAAAAAGAAATAACGGTCGAATCTTTCTTAATTTAGTTCTAATTTAGTTTCTTTTGTTATCGAATTCTTCTCTTTACTCAAGATTAAGATAAATAAAAAGATATCGTTACATTTTTGGTGGAGGTGCGGGGCACTCTGGTGTTTTCATGTATGCTCATATTTTTCTTCAGTCAACAGCACGTCGTACAAAAATTGAATACACCATAATAAATCACTACCAACAGTTCATTAAATACATTGCTCACAATCAAATCAGATAGGGTTACATAATTCAGTACACAAACAAGAAACAATAGGAGATGTAAAACTAACAACTACAGCATCACTTTATGACATTCTAAAACAGCAAA